CAAAAAAAAAAAAAAGAAAGAAAGAAAGAAAGAAAGAAAGAAAGAAAGAAAGAAAGAAATCGGGACTGATGGCCAGAACTGGATGGGGTAGTGGGTGAAGAAGGAGAGGGGTTGGGAGAGAAGTCACAGGTCAGGGAGCAGGTGGGAGAGAAGGGGAGGAAGTGAGGCATAAGGGACAGAGTGGTATGTGTTGTGGGGGTGGGAAGGTTGTCCACAGTCCCTGCCCTGAGGGAGTTTCAGCCTTCCAGAATCTTGGCTAACATCACATGTCCAACCAGGGCCAGGCGAGCCAGAGGAGAAAGGTCAGGGGATGCCACTCCCGTTGCAAAAGCAAACACGGACAAGCATGTGTCTGGCACAGGGAGAAGCGAGGGGCCGATACAGAGAGAGGAGGGTGTCACCAGCAGCCGCCAGAGACCAGCTCTCCTCCCGTTGAGGGTCTCATTGCTTTGCCCTCCTTACTTTTTCCTTCTTTCTTGATTTAAAAATATCCTGATTGTGCTCTACACTAGAAAAGGACATGGCCATTTTTTTTCTAGCTAATACTATTAGGGGAATCAGTTCAATACCATTGTGTGGTATTGTTTGCCTCTGTTTCCCTAGTTTCCAAAGCAGAAAGCTAGGCACCCTGGGTTTCTTCCCCTGGATGCCGAGAAGACCAAGCTGGACACCCCGCTCCCACCTTACATAGTCAGAGGGACCCTGTCCCCAGTTGGAACCTGGCTCTCATGGCATTCCAAAAGTTTACTCACCTCTGGCAGCTCTGTCCCGAGTGATCAAATCCTTCTGTGGTCACTAAAGAATCCCTCAGGGAAAAGGGGGACAGGATCTCTGAGTTTCTCCTTCAGGCTAGAGCAGGAGAGAAGAGTTTTGTGGGGGCAGGGAATCCCCACTCTGGTCTGCAAGCAGCGCCTGCCTCCCTGAGCCCACACAGGATCACGGATCCCCTGCTCGTTTCCTCTCGCCTTTTACACAAATGCTCGTAGATGCTATCTGTGGGATAGGATGGGAGGGTCCCGGAGGATGGGGAAAGGAAACTTCAGGCACCTCTTTGGCATAGGCCCTAAGTTGGAAATTCCCCTCGTGATGGGTGGGTGGAGCCCCCAGGAAAATTTGGGGGCAGTTTTCCAAAGGAAATGTGGATGGGACAGGGGAGAGGTGACAACCCCAGAAATACCATAATACCAAGCCCTCTCTACCGGAGAACAAGTTGCCTCATTTCAATCACTAGAAATCAGATCCAACAACTAACCAGGATTCCCTCCTTCCTCCATTCGGCACCCCCCAGTTTCCTGGCTCATCATCCCCAAGCGGCAAAAAGAAAAAACAGGCCCAGAGAGGTTAAGCTAACAGCCTATGGGCCACACAGCAGGAGAATCGGGTTTAGAACTCTGGGCTGTCTAGTGCCTCTTGAGAAATTTGCAGCTGGAGCTTCCCCTATCTACCTGGAGGCTGCCCTGAACTGTGACCCCCTCACCCTCACTGGTTGGGGGCGATGACCTGGCGTCCTGGTACTGTGAGAAATCTGGGATTAGGAGTCACCTCCGGGCTCTTCCTGTCTGGGCAGAAAAACTGAGAAGGAATCCTCGCTGGAGGGCAGGGGCAGGGAGGTGGCAGCTGCTGGTGGGGTGGGGTGGGGGGAGATATTTTTAGAGGTGACTGGAAACCAGGCAGCCTGGCACACCCCCAGCTGGCGGGCGCTTCGCTCCAATGCGGGCGGGGGGTGCGCAGCTCGGCGAGAGGACTTGTGGGTGGCGGGGAGCAAGGGGGCACCTATTCCTTGGCTTTGCCAGAGTATGGCACAGAGGGATACCCGGATACTTAATTCCTGGGTTAGGAGCGAGAAGGGACTCATCCTCTGCTCCAGGGAATCCCTCACCGCCGCGCGCGTAAAGGAGCGCCCTCAAAGTCCACACAGCCCCCACCGTGCACTGGGACCCCAGCCCTCCTCTCCCTCCCGGAGCCCAGGACTCACGTGCCGGAGGCGGTGGCAGAGATATGTCCCTGCTGAGTTTGGGGTGTAAGGAGTAGGGAGAGGGGCTAGCTGAGGTATTTGGGCGCAGGATGGAGCAAGGGTTGCTTACGGGAATTGGAGGGGTCGCAGTGTCTTATCCACCCCCGGGTTTCTGGGCTCCGGCTCACGAGTCCCTCCAGTCCCGAGGGACCGTGGATGATGTGCGTCTGGGTCGTCCCCTCCACCTGCCCCCCATCCCCCCGGGCCGCTGCCGCCGAGTCCCGTTTCAATCGCCGGGAGCCAGA